GAAAGCCCAAAAGTGAAGTCTATTTTAGGAATTTCTTCATGCTTGAGCATACATTGCACTTTTCTGGCACTTTTTCTGCCAGACTCCATATGTAAAACTGAGATAGAGTTGTCTTTGCCTGGATGCACTTTAGAATATTTGTGTCTACATAGACATAAGAAGTGAAATGAGTGTGTGGCATTTTATTTGGCTTCCTTTCCTTCTTCAAGCAGACCAGAGAATCATGCAACGATTATACAACCAGCTCCTGAAAACTATTCTCAAAACAGTTATAAAAGAGCTGGAGGCATGGCTCAAGTGGTAGAGTGCATGCCTAGCAGGCACAAAGCCCTGAGTTCAAACCCCAGAGCCATCATAAAAACAAAAAACAATCATAAATCCAGTGACTTCATTCAGATTTGTGTTGAAAATGTGGCATCTTCACAAGTTCTTCTGAGTATCAGTCCAGTGTTTTACAGAACAGGGCCACGTATACTGGTGTGTCCTTTCAGTCCATCCCTTAAATACAGAGAATGGTCAGCAGGTGGTGCTCACAGCATGAGATTCTGCTGCATCAATGAGAAGGACCATGGTGAAGAGGACGAGGCGTTGGCAGGTGTTGGACGTGGGAGTCAGTGAGATGGCAGTTGTGCACCTGCCTGGCTGTGAGACTCAAGCAGACCTGCCTCCATGGTAATCCTGTTCTGTGATAGTGGATCCTTGAGAGTCTGAAGGTTGGAGGTGAATTCTTTATGTGTGAAGAATTTCATTTTGACCTGTATTTGTTCCTCCCTCTACTGTATGGTTTTATGAAGAACTCTGCTCTAAAGTAAGAGACTCAACAGAAAACAGGGCGGGCTGGATATGGCCTGTGTGGAGTTTGAGGCAGCCATATAACTTTTGTAAAATTGAGTTGAACGTTACTCCAGCAGAGAAGTGAACAGTGCACCCTCTCCCCCATGTGCCTTCTGCCTGTCTCCCAAGTCCCGTTGCCTGGTCTTGCCTGCTGTTTCTGACCCTAAAAATTGGAGGGCCCCAATTCTAGAGACACGCTCTTTATAATGCTTCCCTTCATTGTGTTCATTTGGTGTGATCCCCTTAGAGAAGTTGTTTTCTTGAAGTGCCGGGTATTGAACCCAGGGCCCTGTGCATGCTAGGCAAGTGCTCTTACCACTGAGCTACAGCTCCAGCCCAGGTCCGATCACTTTAAATATGTGATGACATTCAAATTCTTATCTGCAGCTCCAGGCTCTCATAAGATTTAATAAACACCCAGACTTCATAGATCCAAAGTAGACTCTACCCCTGTTCTCCCAGCCCTTCCCCATTTGGGAGGGCAAATGTCATGCCTGCTCCTCATTTAAGTTTCTACACAAGGGTCACCTCTTCAGAGAGGCCATCTTCCCCTGCTTCTACTCTTCTCTCCTTTCCTTGGCTCTGTGGTCCCTGCCTGACTCTCTCCATCCAAGCACCAGGGTCTCACCTGTGTTTGTTTAATGTACGTTCCCAGTGCCTCAGACAATGCCTGAGAGGTGGATAAATGTTTATTATATGAAGGTTGAGTAAAAGCAATTTAACAAAAATTGTCAAGGCTGAGGTAGGATGAAAGACATTGGTTAAGTTTAGAAGATGCTCTCCCTTCAATTGTTTTGTTTTGTTAAATTGGCATTAAATCTAATAATTCCTTACCTAAACAATTTTCTTATGTGAATTTTGCCTTTAAGAAACAGCTAAAGTAGTTTGGGGATCTTGAGGGAAAATGCTCACAGGTGAACCGTTTTGGGATCTAATTGTAGTATGATTGATGAAAAGATACTTGCTCTGGCTCAGTTCTGAGACTTGAAGTACAAAAATTAATGATTATTAAATGCTTAAATATATTTTCAGTGTGCACGAGAATGTTAATTACTGCTTCTTGGTTATGGAAACAGTACTGAAGTTCCGATCTTTTTACTCCATTAACAATGAGTGTGATGGGCCAAAAGGGCCCGGAAATGACCGTCAGTGCCTGCCGTTCATTCTCAGGACTGCACGATTTGGCTGGAAGAAGGATGTAGTAAGAAGAGGACTGTTTGGAGCCGACCTGTAAGCATCCACCAGGAGCTTCCACCTGCTACTGTCCAAATTTGGAATTTGGTTACATCGCTGTAATTTGGTTACATCAGGGTCAAGAGAGAGGAGATGGCAGTTTGCATCCCTGCTCTGCCAGCTTCTGTTAGCAGGAAGAATTCACTGCATTCAAATTCATTCAGTGTAATTTTCCTCTTTTGCAAATTGATGAGTTGAGGAGCCTTACACTTATGAACATTGGCTTATTATTTTTTTGGCCAGTCTGAAGGTTGTGAACTTGGGAAATTTTAAAAACAGAATTCCAGTCACCACAGCAAGATGAACAAAGAAACAACAGTGCCATCTGCTGGTGACATGGGTGAAATGCAAGTAATGTGGGCATCACCAAACCTGAAGATAAAATTACTCAAAATGTGTGATAATTTGAAAAAATTAAATAAAAATAACATTGTAAGTTAGTCTTTCAGAGCAGAAAATTCTGTTACATTTTGGGAAAACTGTAGTAGTGCGAACTTTTTCTGGAAGTTCTGAAGCATTTTTGTGGCATTGAGCACTGACATTTGGCTGAAAGAATGAAAAATGGTTCAGAAACACAGAAAGAAGCCTTTGAGTCCTTCAAGGATAGAATTGAAATGACTTTACAAGCATTTTATCTAGAGAAGAGTGAGGCACACATTGGAAAGACAATAGGTTGCCTGGGTGTGGTCCCTGGTGACCACCAAGCTTTGGAACCTCAGGTCACTTCCTTAACTGCTGGTGACCACAATTCACTGTCAAATTTGGGACTTAAATTAAATGGTAGGGAAAATTCCTCACAACACGATAGATTTTATTATTCTAAATCATCAAAGGACTAAAGAAATGTTTCTGAAGACCATTTTCCCATGAAAATATTTCTTTCAAAAAAAGTAAACATTTATGCATATTTCTAACTTATCACATTGTGAACCGGTTTTATCCAGAGCCTGGGATGTCTGATATACTTGGTCTTTAACAATTAGGTCAGTACTTTCATAGTCCTTAGAGCAAGTATAAAACTCAGTGTGGGACTTCCTGTGCTTTAAGTGGTCACCTACACTTTCTGGGAGTCATGACCCATTGAAGTGAGATGGGCTCATACCATGACTGTGTTCAAAATGTAACAGAGTGAGATTTTTGAGTTTAAACATTTCTCTTTGAGGGATTTCCTGCCTTAATCTCTAGCCATGTAGCCAACTGCTCACTTTCTGCTACCTTTTTGTTTTGCCCAAAATTCCCCTGTAGCCCTGTGTCTGCTGTTTCTGCCTCTCCTCCTCCCTTATCTCCTTTTATTCTTTCTCCTCTCCTCCCTCCTTCTCTCCTTGTTAGTGAGACTTTTCATCACTGTGACAGATACCGAAAAGAAGACACCTTAAGGGATTAATCTTGGCTTCTGGTTTCAGTCCATGGCAGGCTGGGTTTGTTGCTTTGGGCCTGAGGTGAGGCAGACAATCGTGCTGGTCAGAGCATATGCAGAGTAGGCTATATACTTCCAGGTGGCCAGGAAGCAGAAAGAGAGCACCCAGGTTAGCAGGCCTCCTCCTTTCCCTTTTATTTCATCTGGTCCCCAGTGTGTTCAAAGGTATCACTCACATTCAGGGCAGGCCTTCTTCCCTTAGTAAAACCTACTCTGGAACCACCCTCAGAAGACACTTTCAGAAGCGTGCTTTACCAATCTCCTAGACAATTCTCAATCAAGGTGACAGTCAAGAATAACAATTATACTCCGTCTTCATCTTTTGTATGTATCCTCCTCCCCTTCCCTAACCCCTAACCTGTGGGTCAGATTTCTTCATATTCATCCTTGTACCTTACTTGTGATATCATTCACTACATACATGTTGGCTGAATGATCTAAAATTTGAAAACTCTGTACTGACTGCTCCTCTGTTTGGGTATCCAACCTTAAAAGCCTTTCAGGTACTTATGTGTTTAAGCCCTTTCATTTTGGCATGGATAGGAGGAAGGAAAGTCAGTCCTAGAGCTACGTTTTGGCAAAATTTGATGATCAGGTAAATTTCCTTACATTTTCTGTGTTGGCAGCATGGTAGAAAAGGGAATTCAAATCTAGAATTTAAATCTTGCAAGCCCAAGGATATTGAACTTACCTTCTGGGCTTTGAACTCACCAAGTAAAGTATTTCACTCCAGTCTCTAGCCTTCCCTTTTTGGGACAACCAAAGTTAATTTTCCTTGCTTTTCCTGCCTTTTTGCTTTATGTCAGTATTTAAGTATTTACTAGAGAAATGCTGAACTGACTAGTTTTTAGGCTGTGTATATCCTCCAGGTTCCTCTGGTTCACTGTATTCATCATCTCAAACTGGCAACCAGGGTAAAGGGTGAGGTGTGCGTCCAAATCTGGTGTCCTGACATGTGTTAATTAACTCGTCTTTGACCTTGAAGAGCTGGCAGGATGGACCTTGCATTTACAGTTGGCAGCAACCAGCTCCAGAGCTCCATCCTGGCTGCCCCATCTGTTTGGGCATCCAGTCTCCTGTTGATCTCATCGCCCATGCTCCAGCTACCCACACCTGATTTTTTCTAAACCTGGCCACGTGACTCACCTGCTAGCACAAGTGTCCTTTGTGCTGATGTTTTTACTTCTATTATTATGTGCTTTCTCTTTTTCCGCTCATGCAAGAGATTGCTCAGTGGCAGTAATTTGACTTGTAGTCAGTGGTTCACAGAAGTGAAAGCCACTTCAGTGACCACGTAGTGAAACCTGTCCTCTTCATTTAGTATGCATGAGTTGTTGACAAATGGCACCTCAGTCTGTTTCTAGGAATTCAACAGATGGGTGGGAAAGACCAGTGATAAAGACCCTATAGGTTTCCCTGCCTCGGTTAAGTAGTATTGGGTCAAACTAGTTCAGAAGACTTTGGTTCTCCCATGAACAAGACCCCTGGTAATCTCACTTGTTTTTCTCTTTTCTAGACACCCTCTCCGTAAATCGAACTCAGAAGACAGCTCTGTAGGTCAGTATCACTGTTTGGCTCAATTATTTAATTATTTTCTTTTTATATTTTATAGAAAACACAGACATGTCAAAATACAGAAGTCACCAAGAATCCTTCCACACAGAAATAAACACTGTTAAAGTTTTGATGCATAGATTTCTCCTCTCTTTTTAAAAATATAAGTGGATGGGATCGTATTCCACATACTACTTTATAATTTTTAAAAATGGAATATGTTACGAGCATTTCCACATGGTTTAGTGTTCTTTACAGTAAAAGGCTTAAGTCTGCATCTTAGTGCATGTGTCAGCATTTAATTAACCAATCTCTTCATTACTGGACATTTAAGTTGTTTCTGGTTTTCTTTCTTTATCACAAACAAATGATGCTGCCACAAAAATACTGAGTCTCTGTCCCTTATAATATCCTTAGGATGCGCCCTACAATTTGGAATTTTTAGTTCAAAGAGTATGCAGTTAAGACATGATATATTTGATGTATCCTTAATTATTTAAAAAAAAATGCCCTTTTGATATAGTAAAGGCCAGAGGGTGGTGGGTGATAAGTGATTAGGAACATAAGTGCTTAAATCAGGCAACAGGGCTTGAATCGACTCTGCCAACTCAGTCGTTGTGACCTTGGGCAAGTCATTTGCCTTTCCAAGCCTTGGTTTTCTCATCTCCTAAGTGGGAACAATAATAGATCAGACAAGTAGTGCTGGGTGTGATGGTACATGCCTGTAATCCCAGCACTCAGGAAGCTGATTGTACTGGGGTTTGAACTCAGGGCCTTACACTTGCTTGGCAGTTTCTCCACCACAGTAAGCGAGTCTTAGATGAGATCTGCCATTAGATAGCACAGTGCTGGGCTACAGTAAGTGCTGACTTGATGGTACCTATTGTTATTATTATTATTATTATTATTATTATTATTAGAGTCAGTCTTATTATGATAAGGTCGCATCTCCAGTTTAGAAGCATGAGAACAGGAGAAGAGGAGAAATACGGTTTACAGTCAAGGAAATACATTAGACTCCCAAACTGCCCAATAGAAATGCTGAGTAAGTGACGGTCAGTCTGCCTTAACCCTTGCTAGCTGGAATTTGCTTTATGTTTAGCCCTAGTGGCACAGACATGGCGCAGCTGACCTTCAGGATGGAGCGCACAGGAAGCCTGGGGCTGGAGGCTCTGATTTCATCCCCCTGGCTCTGGGCTTGTCAGACCTTAAATGAGGGCATCCTGTGTTGACAGATGACACCGTGCTAGCCTGGGCGGGACTGGGTTCCCACATGTCTACACCATGCCACATTGCTTGGCACCACCAGTCTAGACTGTGGAAACCCTCCACTTTGCTGGGCTTTGTTTCCAGTGGCCGTGGAGCAAGCAGACAGGCACCAAACAGGGACAGAGCTGCTGTGCTGTGTGTGCCACATCAGCATGTAGCAGCTGTGGGTGCTGCTGCTGTCTGTTATTTTTACAGAATAAAGATTTGCTCCCCCGTGCCCTTTGCTCTCCCCTTCCGCTTTTTAGAAAGGTATCGGAACCCTACCAAATACTTAATGTCTATCTATGGAAAAGAATTTGTTTTCATTTCCAAGTCACCCGAAATAGTCTGGGAAGGATAGGAAGTTAGAGAGAGACTGAGTTGGAAGATGTCACCACTGACTGCAGTCTGTTTTTCTTATTTTTGTGCCCTGGCTAATCTGTAGGAAGGTCACCAGGTAGTCTGCATGCCAGAGAGGTGGGAGTCAGACCCCACCTATGTCATAGCTAGATCCATGCAAACCTCACACCAGTTCCATAGCTAGACCCATGCAAACCTTACACACAGTGACACACGGCAGGTCAGTCTCCCCAGACCTCCAGAACCAGCCATGTCAACCGGTAGGGCACAAGGCAGACCAGCCACTCTGTTCTCTTCATTAAATCTGGAAAAACAGAAATAAATCAAGGGTACATGAACAACAGGCAAAACAACAGAACACAGTTTTAACTTCTTAAAGGAGCCTCTATGGTACAGTGGGAATAATTGTGGCTAAGACCAAAGAAGAAAATAGACCACAAGATGAGGCAGAATGAGGCACACTGGTTAAGCAAACATCAAAGTGAATCCTAGCTTGCATGCTCTGCCTGCCCTTCTGATGTTTCCTTATTCCTCTTCCTAACCCCACTGCTCCATTTCTTGCTACTAGGAAATTTGCATTTCTTTTAAAGAACTGTATAGGCATTTCTCAGTCTTTCACAAACTAAAAGAGAAAAACCATCTTTTGTGAAATCACAGTATTTTTCAAGCTTTGAAATTATAAGGAAGAGGCTGCTTTTGTTACCAATGAATTTATTGCTTGTGTCTTTTATTTTATTATTTTTTTTAAAGGAAAAGGAGATTGGAAGAAGAAAAATAAGTATTTCTGGCAGAACTTCCGAAAGAACCAAAAAGGAATAATGAGACAGACTTCAAAAGGTACCGTGAGACAGCCAGCTGACAGTAGGTCCTTTTAGTGCCCTAATGTTAAGAAGGCTGTGCCCCTAATGTAAATAGATCCTGAAAGTTAGAGTGACTCATTGCACGGTCAACTTTCTGACATTCCTCTCATTACTTTTTAGACTTTGTCCAAATCTGAAAAACAGAGTGGAAAAGAGTTAGCAATTCTTTCTTCTCCTAGATCTGACACCAAAGACCAAGTCTTTTGTGTTCTCAGGAACATCTTTACTCTTACACTTGCCAAAATCTAACCTCAAAGGGTCAAGGAAGCCTTCGTATTTGTTAGTTTTGGATTCTCTTGTCCACACTCCCACTTAGAACCTCTGCGTTCCTCTGAACTTTTGACGCTGCTGTGTCAGTGATAGCGATGAGGTTGTTGCCCCTAGAAACCCTTGAATAGTCTGACATCATGGGAATTTGTCCAGGCTGCTTTGTGAAGGAGTCCTGCTCTGCTCCAGGCTGTGCCTTTGTTGTTGTTTAGATAGTGAGTAAATATGTCGTCCTTTGAGGCCTGGTTATGTAATTTATGTTTCCTCAGTATTCACAGAGGAAACCAGAACAAATCCACTTCCACATTCCAGTCTGGCTCAGTAAGGTTATCAATAAATGAAAATTGTTTTATTGCTCACCAGTGATACCTCTTGTTTTCCTTTACAAAGTAATAGGTCCTCTCCCGCTCAGAATGCCCCTCCACTTACCACCACTGTCACCACCACTGCACACACAGAAATGAGAATAGTGGATGTGGACACTACACACTCCAGCTGCACAGCTGGGCTTCTGGGCGCCACTCAACCATGGCTACTTTCCTCAGTTGTTCTCATTTCAAGAAGTTATTGTTGGACAATAACTTTGGAAAAGGGATCATCTGTAGTTAAGAATAAAGTTTGGATTCTAATGAAACCTTATTCAGAGAAAGGAGGGGTGGGGGAACAAAGAAAGAGAGAGAGAGAGAGAGCCAGTAGATCATCAGCTCATGAGGGTTCATTAAAAATCCAAACAACTCCCCATCACCTCTTCTTCTAATAAATAGAGGGGACACGATATTAAGAAGAATCAATCAAGCAGGCTGTAGTCTGTACCCAGCACACCCTGTCACTCTTCCTGTCTGAGTGAGTGAATGTCCAAGGGAACTTGAGGGGTGTTTTTGATTGATTGCAAAATTGATTGATTACAAAATGCAAATGAGATGTTCAAACAAAGGAACATTAATTCCAAGGTAAGCTCTGCCTGCTGTGGGTTCCTACAAGTCCATAGCTAGTCTCGCTCTGTGCCCACGCGTCAAGGACAAACGAAGTGCCATGACTGAGATCCTGATGACACTAGATGCTAGCATAGTGTGTCTGAGAAAGATGGGGCAGAGGAGAAAGGGGAGGGGCTACACTGTCAGTTTCTTCCTGGTCTACATGTTAGGCCACCGTCACTGATGTCCTTCCCATACACTGACCAAAGGCATAACTGGCCAACAGTGCTCATGTGTATTAGAGACAATGGCAGTATATTTGTTTTGCAGGAGAAAGCTCTAGAAGGAACCTAGTCAGGGTTTCTTGTCCTTTGTGGTGCTGGCTGCCTTTGGTTCTGAGGTGGAAGCTGATTTTCCCTCATAGTGCAGAGACCTATCTATGACATCAGTACTTCCAGATGTAGACATCTGTAGTATCTTTCTATATCTATGGTTTTATTTTTTGTCTTTATCCTGAGAGGTGCCCCAGGTTGCAGGGTTGCTCTGTGTGCTGACCTCCATCTATCATGGCAGAGGCTTCTCTCCAACTTGTAAACATGTTCTCATTTCAAATGGGAAGCTACAAAGAGCTCTTGGCCAAAGGAGTCTTGGGGTGCTTGTCACTTCTAGTTGGGTGCTGTGTACTTCCTATAACAAACACCTCCCTCTCTGTCAGCTGTCTTTTAGATGCCCCATCTCAAAAGTTCTGGCCATTTTGAAGGATTTGCTTCTATGATAACATCCACGTGTTCTTGGAGCCTTTTTCCCAGTGCTTATGGGCTTCCCAAGAAGTAGCTTGTCTCTGCTTCCTCTTGTTCCATCTATAACATCCAAGGTAGACAGGGCCCCAAGAATATCCTTCCTTCACCCTGATAACAGACTTCCAGGACTAGCAGTCTGTTTCGCCTCTTGTTTCATCCCTGCTGTCCTTGGTCCTCCATCTCCAGGAGAAGATGTCGGTTACGTTGCGAGCGAGATAACAATGAGTGATGAGGAGCGGATTCAGCTAATGATGATGGTAAAAGAAAAGATGATCACCATTGAAGAAGCGCTTGCCAGGGTAAGAGTGCAGACATGTGGCTTTCGTTTGTGGCTGTCTGGCCCCTCACATTTAAAAATGATTGGGAGCAGCAGAAGGTACAGAAATATAATACATAAAGCCTTGGGTCATGGGGCTGGAGATTCAACCCAGGGCCTCCCACATGCTTGACAAGGACTGTACCTTGTTTTGATGATATTATGGTGGTTATCAGGTACCCACATTGTCAGATAAAATATTCCATTCCATTTACTTGATACAAGCATACCACCTCTGGAGGTGAAACTTCCTTATTTGGTGAGCGAATGCATGAATCAATGAATGGCAATTGCTTTTGATTGTGGATCACTTTAATGTGGAAAACGACCCTCTGAACACCATTACAAAATTCAAAAGCCTTTTGAAAAAAATTGATGAAAGAATGTAAACAGTGGAAAAATTAAAATTAAATATATTAAAAACATTATAGACATGAGTTCTAAGATGTCAGGTATACCTTAAAAGTTTACTTTCCTCAGTAATATGAGTTGCAGTTTATTACATCTTTTTTTTCCTCACTAAGCTAAAGTAGGCATAAACAGAAGCCTAGTTTATCTTTCACATTAAGATATTTCTTAGGCGGAATGGTGGCTCATGCCTGCAATCCCAGCTACTCAGGAAGCAGAGCTCAAGAGTATCTATGTTTAGGCCAGCCTGGGTAGAAGAGTTCATGGGACCCCATTTCAACCAGTAAAACCCAGACGTGGTGGCATGCACCTGTCATCCCAGCTACATGGGATGTGTAAATAAGAGATCATGGTGCAGGCTGGCCCAGAATAAATACAAGCCCCTAACAACAACAACAATATATACTAAAGCAAGAAGGGCTGGAGCATGGCTTGAGTGGTAGAGCACCTGCCTAAACAAACAGGCCCTGAGTTCAAACCCCAGCACCACCGAACAACAAAAAAAGAATGTTTTCTGCTTTGCTGTTAATCAGTGAACTGATTTGATTCTTTTCAACCTTGAACAGTTGGTTCTGTATTGCAGACAAGTCATAAATAATAGCCAGGGTTAGAAATGACTGAAAACCTTCAGATCACTGGGGAGTCATTGAATGAGTTATGACTTTGCCTGTGTGTTAGTCCATTTGGTGGTGCTATAGCAGAATACAGCAGACCGGGGGGGGATTTTTAAAGCACAGAAATTTATTGCTCACAGTTCTGAAGGCTGAGAAGTCCAGTGTCAAGATGCTAACAGGTTTGTTGTTGGGGGAGGCTGTGCTCTTATCCAAGATGGCACCTTACACATCCCGTTCTCTGGAGGGGAGGAAGATTCACATGACAGAAGGACCAAGAGGGAAAAAGAGGCTGAACTCACTCTTTCATTAGTCCTGCCCTTGGCCACAGAGTCTTTATGGCCCTGACACCTCCCGAACTCTAAGCCCCACCTCCTAACACTGTCCCTACAATTAAGTTCAACATGAGGTTTGGAGAGGATAAACACTGAAGCCAAAGCAGCCACTAATGGAATCTTAGGTCTGAAACCTTGAAACAGCAACGACGTGCTTAGTTTACTTTAGTATACCTGACTCTAAGCCTCAGTAACTTAGAATCAGGTGTTCTAAGATAATATTGTAAGAAGAAGCACTTATGTGAGTAGAGGGTTTAGTAGGACAGACACCTGGGGACTGGGACAGCCCTGGAACACCCATCTGCGGGCTTCTTTGTGTCTGCAGATTTGGAAAAGTGATATTAACTTAACCTCCAGGGTCTCCGGCAGACTCATTGGTAACAGTAACAGAGATAGTATTGCCAGACTTACTGCAGATAGGCAGATTGGTGCTGGGGCAGGTGACAGGTGACAGCCTCCTGTCCATGCTGCTGATCACCTGCACCTTTATTCTTAGCCTGGTTTGTCTATTTCCTATGTCCTTGACTGCCTGGCGCAGCTGATGACTGGGCAAAAAGCACCCATTCATTTTCTCTACAGTTCCTTCCCGTGGGCATGGCTTTTGGGAAAAGTCCAATTGAATTCTTAGAAAATGCACATGAGAAGAAGTGGGCCCACTTCAGATGCAGCCACTGAGCACAATAAAAATATCACCTACAAAGCAATCCAGAAATGCAGACGGCCAGGGGCAAAAAATGGCACCATGCTCCATAGTTTACTAGAATCTGCATACAAGGATGGGCGCCCTTTGACAGATGATGAAATAGCAAGGATGCTTGTTTATTTGCTCTTCTCAGGCCAACATACATCCTTTTTGGGGACAGTACTGGGATTTGAACTCAGGGCCTCATGCTTGCTAGGTAGGTGCTCTACCACTCGAGCCACTGCATCAGCTCTGTTTTGTGTTGGTATTTTCAAGACAGGGCCTCACACACTATTTGCTTGGGCTGGCTTTGAACTGCGATCCTCCTGACCTTAGCCTCCCAAGTCACTAGGATTATAGGTGTGAGCCACCAGCACCCAGCCTAAGCTGGGGTTCATTTTAACCAGAGACAAAATACTTCAAGGAAATTGTTATCTAGAAGAGAAACCAGTCTGTAGAGACAGTCTCCTTCCTTTGTCATGTGACCAGCTTGAGAATCTGAATTTACTTGATTGCTGTATACTAGAAATGCTAAGACAGACCTCATGTAATGACCGTGATGAGAATGGCTCCAACTCCCCAGACCAGGACATCAGCATGCCTTCAAGACTCCTGGGTAGAACTCCTGGATTCGAAGCCCAATCCATAATTAGAGGACAACCATCGGGAGAGAAGTTTGGAGTTGAACGCCATTGTATTGGGGGAAATCTTGCCTGTGCTCAAATCAAGACACTATAGTCCACTATATTTCATTCATATAATTTAATCTTGATGATGGGTTTTTCCCACTACACCCATGATTCACATCCCTAAAAATCCAGTTATCTGTTAGAAATAAAGATCAAAGTGAAAGGCTACAAGGACCTACTATGTGAATAACATTGCAAGCTGCAGAAGTATTTGAAGAGAATGAATTTCTAGGTATTAATTTTAAGGGCATACATAGTAACTTAAGATATTCAACTCTTGTATTAGTTTTGCAAGGTCTAGAGAGCCCAGTGAAAAACTGGGAAGTGCTAGGTTAATTTGTGTGTCGGTATGAGGCTAGGAGAATACTGAATAAACTCACATTTTAAGCCTGGAATAACAAAGACTATTAGTAATTGTTTTGGCACAGTGATAAGCAGTGAATGATGGAGCCGTGTTACAGAAAAAATACATCCTTTGAAATTTTAACTGGAAGCATTGTCTTAAGGAAAATGAGAACAATCTATGACTATGATGTAACAGTTTTATTTCCTTAAAAACATAAATCCTAGCCAGGCACCAGTGGCTCATACCTGTAATCCTAGCTACCTGGGAGGCTGAGATTGGGAAGATCCCTGTTCCAGGCCAGCCAGGGCAAAGTGAGAGAGACCCCCATCTCAACAGAAAAAAAGCTAGGTGTGATATGCCTGTCATCCTAGCAACAGCAGGTAGCCTAAAAAATAGGAGGATCACCAGCTTGATCAAAAAGAAGACCCCATTTCCAAAATAACCAGTGCAAAAAGGACTGGAGGTGTGGCCCAAGTGGTAGAGCACCTGCTTAGCAAGCACAAAGCCCTGAGTTCAAACTCTAGTACAGTCCTTCCTCCCAATAAATATTATCTTAATACTAAAGACTACTTTTTAACGTTATCTAATTGCTAAATATTATGCATTTATCCGTCTGATAAGTATGTGTCTGTTTCATGTGAAAGTCCAAAATAAAGTTTTCAAGAGATTAAAAAACGTAGATAGGAATTTGTGTGTTTTTTTAATTAAAGATGAAACTTACTAGTGACTTCTAGTAGCTGGAGCTAAGGTTGAGTGTAAAGATGGAGTTAGATAACCCCATAGTAATCCCATTTTCCTACTGACAGCTATTCCTGATCTGACAGAACGATTGTGGTATTTCAGAAACGGCATATCCAGATGGAGAAGCATAGCATAGGTATGCTATGAAGATTAGGTCCTTGGAAGCGCCCCTAGTGTATGATCAGGATTAAAAGAATTAGTGTCCCTAGTAGCAGAAAGATTGAACACATGGAGTTAATGCGAGCAGCGAGTGTGCTTTGATCTGAAACAGCAAAGATGATGATGGTACTGTGTTACTCTATCACACAGAGGCAATGTGCTAAGAACTTGCTGCGTTATATCCCTTAATTCTGGTCGTGAGCCTCGATAAATGAGGCAGATCCAGTATTCCCTGCTTTCCAATGGAGGAACCGAAACACAAGGGGCTGTGTGTGGTATCTGTAGAATTTCCTAGGAGGGCAGAAATGACACTGGGGAGGCTGCTTTCTCCTAGAGGGACCGTGTCATTGTGGTGGCTCTGCCACATCCAACAGCTCTAGTGATGAGGATGGTCATGACACTATCTCATGGACTGTCAGATTGTTTCTATTTTTAACATGCTTGGTTCATGGAACATAACTTGATCAATTTCTTAAGTTCAGATCTAAAAGCCACTTACAGTAGGATTTAAATGCAGTGACAACTTAATCATATTAGTAGCAGAGGTCAGTTTCTCTGCATTTCATAAAATCACACCTGGACTTTCTCAGCTATGCCATTCTGAAAGAGCTCTTACCTAATTTCGTTAAGTTAAATTTGCTTGCTTTTCTGTAGAATTTTACTTGCCTTTCTGGTTTTCTTTTTTCAAAAATCAAAAACTTACTTTCTAAACTTAGACTTTGAGTATCTCTGAAGACATTCAGTTGTCTTATTCTTCTCCCCAAATTGCTTTACATTTGTGAGGTGATAACCTTGAACTAGTATTGTGAAGTAGTCTCGAAGAAGAAAAGCAAGGCATTTTTAAAAGCCAGTTTCCGGCCTCCCCCTGTGTTACAGAGATGTCCTTAGAGCACCACTTCCTCCCTCCCCCCACCTCTCACAGTCTCCTCCTGAAAGGGACTTCATGCTTTTGACTTCTCCATGTGGGGGGGTGATTCCTGTTTTCAAACCTGTAATTTCACCAGGGAAAGATGAGTTTGGTTATTGGAGGATGTTGGATGGAGAAAAGTCAAGGTTCTTTTGGAGCACCAGATACAAAGAGTCTGATTTAGACGAAAACCCACAGGGCAGCTGTTTATCTTCCTGTACTTCTGGAAGGTTTGTCCTTTGACTGGCACCAAGTCACCAACAGTGGCATGAAATGCCCAGAGTGGTCTCTGTGCCGTGTGGTAGACAGCGTTTGACTGTAATTTCCACTCCAGCCTTCCATTTCCTTTTGCCACAGCTCAAGGAGTATGAGGCCCAGCGCCGGCAGTCCGCTGCCTTGGACCCCGCCGACTGGCCGGATGGCTCCTACCCGACGTTTGACGGCTCATCCACTTGCAACGTGAGTTCCCTGCCTCTGCCCATCTGCCCTGTGCCAGCGCAGCCTGCCCTGCACCGTTCTTCGCATTTCCTTCTGCAGCTGACAGAGGCTCAGCTACAGTCACAATGATGCTTTCAGGCTGGGGCTTTGGGCTTTGTGTTTCTGTTGTGGTAAAGTATACATAACAAAAAAGTTTACCATGTTAATCATCTTTAAGTGTTCAATTCAGTTTCATTAAGCACAGTCATATTGCTGGGCAACAGCATCGGAATCCACTACTAAAAGTTTTTCATCATTCCACACAGGAATTCTGAATCCGTTAAACAATGGCTGCCCATGCTCCCCTCCCCCCAGCCCCTGGAAACCACCATTGTATTTTCTCACTGTATGCGTTTGACCATTCTAGGTACCTCATAGGTGGAATTTTATCCTTCTGTGTCTGGTTTATCTCAGCCACACCATGTTCGCAAGGTTCATGATGGTACAGCCCGTGCCAGAACGTTACTGAGTTTTGTGGATGTGTAAGATCGGTTGCACTGTGGGCGTGTGCTACCTTCCGTTTATCTGTGCCCCACTGGGGTTGCCAATCCTTTAGCCATCGTGAACGAGGCTGCTGTGAACGTTAATCTCCAAGCCTCTCTTTGAGTCTCTGATTTTGATTGTTTGGATCACATGGTGATTCTCTTAACTTCTTGAGGAACCACTGGGTGTGTTTTCTAGTAACTACACCATTTTACATTCCTGCTAACAATGCTCGGCACCAGCACTTGGTGTTTTTCCCTTTTAAGCTTGCAGTTATCTTAATGGCTGGGAAGTGTTATTTATGGCTTTGATTTGCATTTCACTAATGACTAGTGATGTTGAGCTTGTATGTTTGGAGAAAGGTCTGTTAAGTGTTTTGCCCTCTTGTGTTTTTTGTTTAGTCTACCTATAAATACCTTATCAGATATGTGATTTGTAAATATTTTCTCCCATTCTGTGGGTTGCTTTTTCACCCATTTGAAGGTGTCTTTGATATAGAAGAGTTTTAAGTTTTGAGATGCAAGTATTATTTTTTCTTTTGTTGCCTGTTGATGTCACATATAAGAAATCGTTGTCCAAACCAATATGATGAATATGTCACTGGGTTTTCTGCTCATGGTTTTACAATTTTTAGCTCTTAAGTTTAGGTCTTTGACCCAGTTTGAGTTAATGTTGGTACATGATAAAAAGTGTGGGTCCAATTTCTGGTCATGGCAAATCCAGTTTTTCCAGAACCATTTGTTGGAAACACTTTCTTCTCCCCACTGAATGGTCTTAGAACCCTCTTTCGAAAATTATTTGACCATATATGTGAGAGCTTCTCTCTGGGCTGTGTATTTGATTCCATTAGTCTATCCCTGTCATTCTACAGGACCGTACTGTTTTGATTACTGTAGCTTTGTAGTAAGTTTTGAAATTGGGAAGCATGAGTGCTCCAATTTTACTTTCTGTTTAAAGATTATCTTAGCTCTGTGGGGTCCCTTGAGGTTCCATATGAATTTTAGGGTGGGTTTTTCCATTATTGCAAAAGGAAAAAGTGCCAGTAAGGTTTTTATATAAATTGCATAGAATCTGCACATAGACTTCTTAGTATTGTCATCTGAATTTTACAAAGTTTTTAAGTCTATGAATGCTGGGTATCTTTCCACTTATGTGTTTTAAAATTTCTTTCAGTAATGTTTTGTAGTTTTCAGTATATAAGCTTGGTCTTCTTGGTTAATCCTTGAGTTTTTAATTCTTTTTGATGCATGTAAATGGAGTTGTTTTCTTAATTTCCTTTTTAGATTGTTCATTGTTAGTGTATGAAAAGGCAACTGATTTTTATTGTGTTGGCTTTGTATCTGATAACTTTGCAGAATTTGTTTATTGGCTCTGATGGTCTGTGTGTGCACAGGTGTGTAATCTTAGGGTTTTCTCCATAGAAGATCATGTCTTTTGCAAAAAGAGGTAGTTTAATTTCTTCCTTTGCAATCTAGATGCCTCTTATTATTTATACTATTTTAATGTGATCCAAATAGATCTTTTAGAACTAAAGGTTTCAAAGGAACTGTAGGAATTAAAACTCCAGAATTTCAAATGGACATTTATGGTACTTGTGCCATCATCAAACTGCGTGGGGTGGGAGTGGAGTGATTACCCTTTTTCATGTATTATGTAGTGGGTTTTGTTCTGTTTTGTTTTGCTTTTATGTCTGTTTGGTTATTCGTTAAGTTTTCCCTTCTTTCAAATTTGGAAGTCATTCTTCCTCCATGTCTTCAGTCTCTTGTCCATGCCTCACACAGCCACTCATCTTTTTACATTTGTCTCTTTCTACATTTTTCTTTTCTTGCAATCTTGCAATTTTGAAAAGCCTGATGGTTTCCCATTTCTATAAGATAAATTCCAAACTTCTTGGCACTCGCAAGGCCCTATGTGATCTGGCTTTAATCATTTTCTCTGATCTCATCTTTCATTTCCACACCCAACACCCTCTATTCCAGCCACATTGGATCCTGCTTCCATTACCAAACAAACCTTGTGCTTTTGTACTCCTGAGCTTCAACTCATGCAATTTCCTTTACCCAAAATGTTTCTTCCAAATTTCTTCTGCTGTGGAAATCTATGCATCCTTCAAGGTGAAGCCCAGTTCTTCTTCCTCTATAAAACTTGCCTTAGCCTCCTCAAGCATAATTATTGCTTCCTATTTTGTGCTAGGTTTATACAGCAACCCTAAACAGCTGTTCTAGAATATTGTTGGCTTCCTTGCAAGTAGCAAGGTCCTCGAGCAAGCATGCTGTGTCCTTTGTCTCTCCAGTGAGCCCTTAGCTCAGTGTCCAGCTCACATTGAAAAGTGTGATACACAAACTTGTATCTGAACACTCACCCTGGCTTCTTAACAAGCATATCATATGTCTTGCAGCAAATGGTAGCTCACCAGAAGTAAATAAAACCTTCTTGCCACCTTCTTGTCCCTGATTTCCTGAAACAAGCACCCAATTTCCATTGTAGCCAAAGGATTGTAAATTTGAAAGCCCTGCCTGGTTTGCTTTTGTGTGAAAGAAACCAAGACATTACCATTTATAATAATAAATGTGTCATAGGCTAGCCAGCCCTATGCCCTGGGACTATGAGGTAATCAAAAGAACCATGTTCATGCTTTTCAATATGCCTTTTTGGGTCTCTTATCCCAAATCTTAAAGACTAGCATAATATAAACCTAAATCATGAACCTAAAGAATCCTGAAGAATAAATACAGTAAATCAGGACAGATGTGATTCAAACCCAACTGCAGTGAGAAAACAAAGACCCAGTTGTCCATAGTGGGTCTTTTAGTATCAGACCCACTGTATGCTGTCCTGATTAATAGCAGCTGAGTCAGGGAGAGGTTAGAGGACTTTGTCCATTCAGAGAAACAGGGCTGTGGTAAAGCCTCACGCACTTAGACTGCAAGGAAAGCCTGGTTTCATTTAGGAAAAAGTCAGTATTCGAGGACCGTAGGCATTTTGTACCAGCTTGCTAAGAAAGAATTTTTCAGTTTTGGTTTATTGGACCTCCTTCATAGCGTCAAGCCGAACCATCACCTAGCTATGAAGTGTCAGAAGGAAGTGAGTTCTTCTAAAGGATTGAATGTTTTATCCTCTTGAGCATTTCTCTGAGTTCATTCGGGAGACATTTATGGAGCCCTTTCTTTGTAGCAAGCATAGAGATAGATGGCAGTTGAAGGAGCAAGGCTGTGCCTTGATGACACAGAGAGGTTGGCGTCCCACCCACATGTGCACACAGCTTCAAGTTCCCATGTACACATTTCCCCTATTCTTACCAAACTGTCTTTTCATAGATGACACAAAAATAAATTCAGCCTTTCCTAATTGAACAAGGAGCCAGAAATACCATGTGCTCCTTCCACTGAGGGCACAGTCTTCCAGAAACTCTTAAAGAGTGCCTTCTCTGTGTACTGAGAGGTGTGAACTGAGAAGTACAGCTGATGATAGCTACGCATGAATGGGGAGAGTCCTCTGAAGCAGAATGTTTGTGGCATTTCACTGGTTGACTGCAGATACCCACAAGCCCTTGGTCATGCTCTTCAGAACTGCAATCTTCAGAACTGCAACCAGCCACCGTTGTCCCAGCATTTGCTTGAACTTGAGTGTTAGCCTATGGATATGGTCCTGGCTACACCTGCTGACTTCAGTCTTTCCTCTGTTTTATGAAGATTCAGCTTGCACCCCCAACTAAGCTGTTCCCTGTCTGTGTTCTGGACTTGCTCCCCTCTAGCAGGGCAGCCCATTCCAAATAATTCCCACTGTGTTGTAATTCAGCTGCCATGAGTCAGGCAGTTTTCAGCTTTCTATCGATTCCTCTCTATACTGAGATGGAAATAGCCCACTGGCTCTAGTCAGGAATGCCCAGGCCATGAATGTTTCAGGGATCATAAGGCCCTTGTCACCAGACTTCAATGCCTGTATTGATGCCTGGCCTGCTTTTGGATTTCATCTGCATTGATTTCATAGGCTTCCCCACCCCCATAACTGCTATTAGCTAATCGAGTGTTGCCTCATAATAAATCCATATGCACATTCCTAGTTGCCAAGAGTGTAAAGTACTAAAGATAGTTACCAGGGGAAGTGAAAAATAGCTTTTTCTTTGCCAAAGGAGCATCTGTTCTGTGCTGGTTTTCATTAATAATGACCTTCTGTCATGAGTGTCAGAGTTTTAAAAAGGGGTTTTGGTTGAGAATCTAACTTTATTCCATGTTAAAAATCTGAATCTTGACTTTAATATTTCCCTTTCAGTTTATTTTAATTTATTTTCATTTGCATCCTGCCAGGGGAACTTGAGTCGTCATTTTATGCTACCATTATTGTATCTGAGGGTTCAGTCTACTTTCCTGTTAGGAAAACATTTAAAGAAATTATGCTGTCTGTCTCATTGAGTTTTGTAGTTTCTCCCCACAGTGTAAGTCTTAGTAAATAACTGGTCTTATGTTTTTACAGAGCTGATGGGTATCAGTGGTGAGCGG